ATATATGTACATCCAGGGTGCGCCATAAATATGGTAACAACTTTTCGGACGTCCGTAATTTCCTTGTTCGGAGGGTTTTTCCAAATCTACACCTTTCCTTATGTTTATGATATACCTCAGCCCACATATCTATTTTGCTGTTCTCAACTTGTCAAATTTCGAGAAACAGTGTAGCATCGCAAACGTCCATCAACCGTCCCGCCTTTACGTGCATATGGTAAGTCCTTTTCCGGGTTCGTGCCTCGTTTCATCATTTCCCACACGACAGTCTCTTAATCGCGTTGCGAAGACAGGTCAACAGCAAACCTCGACACGGTCATCTTGTCTCACATACGATTCCTTTTCCGAATTCAATTGCTTGGGAAGGAGTACGGTGCAGAACCTGCAGAAACAGAAGAAAATGGATGCTGATTTATTTGTATGTCCTAATAGAAGGAGTTTATCTGAAGTAAATACAATTGTATCCAAAGGAGATTCGAGAACCTTATAAGCTTTTCGACAAGAAGAAGCTGAAGAGTAAAAACAAATGCCGTGCGCTACTTGCGCGCGGCACTCGCCTCGACACACTTGTTTTTGACTGAAAAGTGTTCAGCGTGGAACAAATGCTTGAGATCCCAGAGTCTACGTATATTTCACACTACGTGTGCTAAAGTCGGTGAGAAGAGTCAGATATTCTTTTGTAGCCGTTTTTTCTCATTCATGATGATTTGAGCTCGAAACTCTACCATGAAGGCGGCATCGCAAATTTTAGAAAAGAAAAGCACGAAATTCAACCCGAACCTCTTTAACACGTTGCGTACCTGCGCCTTCGGCGATTTTCCCATGCGCGTGGCCAAGCGATTTTTGCTTCGGCTCGCGGCGTGCATTACCATGTGATGCACTTGGCCACAAGGAACAGTTTTTTTTAACATTGTAAATTTAAATACTATTGGGATCCGATTTTTTTCTATAATGTTTTCGCATATGGAGAACAACATATCTGTCCAACTCTTTGTGATTCGAGAGATATTTTGTCGGTCAACTGTGCGTGCTAAATCTAAATTAAATAAAATCTACTTAGTGCTAAATCCTGTGATAACAATTCAAACCGGCTGAAGTTTCTTGACTTCAAAGTGTTCCGACCAGGCGAAAGGTGCGCTTATTTTTCACACATCGACTTTGTGTCCCCTCGTCCCATTCCAGTAGAGCAACTTTAAGTCCAATGAAGTTCTGTTACCGATTCTGGTAGTATTCCAGATGGAAGCTTTCGAGAACTCATTCGTGCAACTGCTTATTGATAGCGATGAAGAAGCAGACAATGAAGATTTTTCGGGAGCTCCTGATGGTTCATAAGTTCACAGTTCATAAGAGTAGAGAAGAAATGTTACAATAAAACTTGTTAGTAGTGTTAGATTCATGGTTAATATTATGAAGTATGGACGCTCCATATTTCCTCAGCTGTTGGAGTC